GACCCCCTGGTCCCTGTTAGACTCTAAGTGGAGTCAAAACTGATAGACAGGTACCCCTCACATTTGTTCTGTGCAACTTGCCTAAAGTCACATAGATAATTAGCAAGATCAGAGTGTTAAATCAAGTCTTGGGACTCCTGGTTCCCTCTTCCCACTAAGTCACAGGTATCCTGACAATTTTGGGCCCAACACACTCCATTTCCTGCTGTTTTGCCTCACCTCCACCCCCACTCACCTCTAGGTGTGAGGGTTACCAGCTGAGACCTGAGCTTCTGGCTCCACCTGCGAGATGGCCCCAGTGGAAAGTCTCAGAAGGTGGTTTGGTTTCACTGGCAGGGACCATCTCCTGTACCTTAGGGCAGGCTTCTCTGTTCTTGCTAACAGACTCCAAGCCCTTCCTCCCAAACGCTCCTCAAAGATAAGGCTGCAGCTCGCCTGCTCCCCTTTCTACCTTCGCTCATTTCCTGCTGTATTCTGTTCCTTTCCAGCACTGGCCTTTCCCGTGGGTGGGTGGACAGGGGTAAGTTTCCTGCATGACTACTTGCTCATGATTCATACTTTTAAATAAAAGCAAAACTGGTCAAAAATGAGGATTCCTGGGTCTTAAATTAAGAAAACAAAATTACTAATACCAAAAAAAAAAAGACTTGTGTACCTGTCAAGTCTCCTTAGGGCCTGTCTGGCATGTACTATGAAGGTACCAACCTTTCAGGGCTTAGGCCTTGACAGACCCTCCTATTTTCTCCATTTGTTCAACCGCTTGTGGCCAAGTCAAGAAAAGGCAGATGTGCTAAGTGCCCTCTGAGTTTCTCTAAGGACCCACTGACAGCTCAGGCCAGCCCCTAGAGATGGACCCAGGAGTCTTATCTGGAAAGCAAGGCTCCCCTCACTCCCACGCCTGGGTCATGTGCTGTGGCACCCTTCCTTTGAGCTCCTTAGCCCCCAGCTCTCCTCAGGCTGCTCTCTGACAGGAGGGGGCCCAGGGTTCACACTAGGGTTCTCTAGTCAACACAGCCTGGCCAACTTCCAGGGGAGTCAGGAGCTGCTGTCAACCCACAGAAGGGGAAATGAGAAAGCCTGGCTCAGCCACCCTTCAGGGACCTTTCTGAGGGCCTGGGGACCAAGGTGAGTGGGAACACAGGAAAAGGACTTCCTCTCTCCACTTCCTCCTGAAGGAGAGTTATCAAAGCCGTCCACCTGGGAAGACTCCCTTCCCGCCCCTCCCGGCCCCCATCACTAAAGGAAGCAGGAAAGCATCCGTCACCACAGCCCCGGATGCTGCTTTTCCAGTGGCTTCAATCAGGATATCCCTGAGCCTTTTCCCAGGGGCTTAGGGAGCTGGAAAGGGCAAGTGGTGAAGTTGGCAGCATCACTGTGGAATTTTTGGCCCAGAGGAGGCAGACTCTCTAACTGGTCCCGGACTAGTTTTAGATCTGGTCAGCTCCCAGCCAGCTCCAGAGAGGGCCCATTACACGTCCCAGCGGATATCATACGCCCTTGGGTGACCTCGAAGTGCACACCTCTGCTTAGGTTACAGCTCGGTCTCTGGAGGGACTGAGTTGTCACCAACACCTCCTCTCTCCTTGGTATCTGTTTCTGTCTTGGGGATGAATGTGTCTGGGGAGCAGGGGAGGAGGAGGCAGTGCACAAGGGCCAGGCCGGGGGCGCCAGAAGCCTACACTGATGGACAGCTCAACCCCTTTCTCAGCGCTGAGCAGGGGCAGCTTCAAGAACTGGAAACTCCCCACTTCAGCCCCTTGGGCCTCCCTACTCCCTCTGTGCCCTTGGCATTGAGAACAAAGAAGGGAAATTTCAAAGGTGATTTCCAGGTTTCCAGAGCAAACTGAATAGCTGAGGATTAACTGTCAGGATGTGCAGTGTCAGAAGCTGGGGCAGCCCTGAGGGAGGTGAAGGAGGCTGGCTCACCACAGCCTCCGCTCTTTTATCAGAGGATCTTGGGCCTCCCTGTGCCGCTGGGGCCTCACTGGTGCCCTGGCCAAGGGGGCCTGTGGTGTGGCCAGGAACAGAAACCAGAACTCTCAGTCAAGCCATGTGGGCCTCCAAGCCTCCCTGGCGGAGAGTTTCTTCTACTTCTCACTTGGCGAAGGCAGAGAGGCAGGGACACGATGCCCCGTGTGGTATCCAGCACTCTGCTGTGGCTCATGCCCTCTGAATTATAGATGCCCCCCAGCTCCCAGCATCTGGGGACCCAGCGAGGGCCGCTGAAACAGGCCCAGAAAGCGATGGGCTACACCTTGCGTCTGCAAATTGAGGCACTTGGCCTGAAGGTCCTTTATTTTCAGGGAGTCGCTCTGTAGTTAGTCTGCCTTACCCTGACCCCCACGGCACAGAAGAACAAAACAGAGGGACAAAGAAACAGAAAGAGTAAGAAGTACCAGCTGGGTGAAGCCCCGCTGGCAGACACTAGGGCTGAGCCGAAGGGTGGGCACAGATCAGCTAGGCAGGGCTCATCCTCTCCTCCTTCCTGTCCACCTCTTGTGGCCCCTGCAAACCCCTGCCCAACCCAGAAGGAGTCAGGAGGGACCAGAGACTAGCAATGGATTCTCAGGGTTGGAGGAGTGGGCAGAGAGAGAAAGTGATACCGGAGGATCTCCTGGGGGTACTGAAAGCCCCCTCACTCCTCGGGGGTGGGGGGAGGTCAAAGACATCCAGCACTCCTTTAGGCATCAGGGCCCAGAAAACTGATCCCGGGTGAGGCGGAGGGAAAGCAACGACAGTAACGGGGACTCCCTTTTGGCATTGTCCCCCCAACTCCTAAGTCCGGGAGTTGATCTCAGAGCTCAACAATAAACTGAATTAAGTGTAATTACAGACCTGATCCACCATCCCACTCCGTGGACCTTCCCCAGTGGGGGCGGAGAGCGGGGAGTGGTCCCAGACTGGGCCAAACAAATGTTCCCCATCCCTGCTCCCTGGGTTCCTGGCAGCCCTCAGGCCACAGCAATAACTGCTTCTCCTGAAGGTTTAGGTTTACAAACAGCCCTCTGCTGCAGGGGGTGGGGCCTACGACCCAGTCACGTGACTGTCCAAGGTGAGAATTCTGCAAAGCGAAAGCAGAGAAGTCAGGAAACTGGACACTGGGCAGGATCCCTCAGTGAGGGGTTGAAGAAACTCTTCTAAACCACTGATGCTGCGATGAGACTTTAGCGTACACAAAGAACCCTCACATTAGTGACACACAGAGAGGGGAAGGAGGGGGGAGGCCGGAGGCCAGAGGGCCCAGGAGGCCCAGGAAAACCAGAGCTTTGGAGACAAAGGCCTTGGGGAGAGGAGATGGCTGGGAAGGGAAGGAGAACTGGGAGGTGTGTGGGCAGCAGCGAGAGGCGGGACCCTTGCCCGGTGGGGCTCCGGGCAGCAGGGGAAGCAGGCTCTTGCTTAGATGATTGGCCTTCTGGCCTCCATTCTTGACTCTTCCAGGTCCCTGGGCCATGTTCACTTCCTGCCAAGAGCCAGGAGTGCTGGGCCACCCCTGCCCTGCTCCATTAGACGGCTTTCCAGGCACTGAAGTGCTGGGCCTGTGGCAAGGAGAAAAACAGGGTGTGATGGCCTGAGCCCTGGTGGGGCTCACCGACATGATGCTCCCTGACCCTCCAGCATTCCCTGAATATCCATTAAGGCCTCCTCCGTGCCAGGCTCCCAGTCCAGGAGAGAGCACAGCAGGTCAACCGGCCACTTGACCACAGCTCTGCCTAGGTTCCCTCTATTCCCTGTGAGAAGAAGGTGGGGCCTGCCCCTGGTTCGGCCAGGCCACGAATCACTTTCCTTCTTTTCATGACACACACAGTTTCCCACCAGTTACTAGTGTGAGCTAGTTCCTTGGGGGTTGAGGGTGAAGTTTGTGCTCCAGCTTTCTCAGAGACTGTGAAATCTGAGACCCAAGCCACAGCCTGTGGCCAATGTGTCAGCCCCAAGTCAGAGGTTACAGGGTGGGGTGGGGGGCGACAAGCAGAGGGGAGGCAGAGGAAAGGCAAGTGGGGAGCCTGGGAGCACTGGGAGGGTTCTTAGGAGACCCAGCTCATCTCTGTCCAGGGCTGGGGGCTGGGGGATGGGAGGGCTGCTTGTTGGAGGGACGGAGGCCAGAAGGGAGGGAGGCCGCCAGCGCAGGGGTTGGACTGTGCTTAAGTCCGCAGGCCTGCGAGTCAGGCTGGCGCTGTGCCCTGGGTCTGACATGTATGCGCTGCGGCCTGCGTGATGGGGCAGGCTGTTTAACCTCTCAGTGACTCTGGCTAGCTTGTTCATCTGTAAAATGGGATCATAACAATACCTGCCTCACAGAGATTATGTGGATTCATGGAGAAAAGGGTCTTTAATCAATAAATATTAGCTATGAATATTATTGCCCAGAGAGTCCGAGAAAATTAGGGGTGCGGAGGTTGTTGCTGCGAAAACTGGAGGGACCAGGGCAGCCTGGGAACGCTCCTCCCAGCAGAGTGGGAGGCCAGCCTCAGGCCTGAGGGACGAGTGGGCAGAGAGCGGACAGCTGGTGCCTCTGGTGCCCCTTCCTGGCACTGCTCACAACAAACTGGTACCCTGGCCCAGGCTCTTCCCTCGCTGGGGTGAAGTTTTCCTTTGCTTTTACCTGGGAGTTGGCCTCTCTGTATCCCCCTCACCACACCCCCACACTAAGCATTTGACTCTTGATAAGAATGAGGAAGGTCCTTCTGCCTAGGAAGCATCTCCCCCAACCCCCACTGCCCTCTCCGCCCATCTCCCAGCCAGGAGCCCAGCAGCTGCAGTGGGGGTGGAGATGCTGCGGGCTCTGGTCAGCCGCTTGACCACTTCCCTCCCCTCCTGAGTCTAGGGGCTGGAGGGGGCAAGACCTGGGGCTGGCAGTGGGCCAGCAGCTCCTGCCAGCGGATGTAGGTCTGGGTTGCCAGGTCCTTGAGTTTGGTCCAGTGCATGGCCTGGGGGCTCTCCCGGATATGGGTGCTGATGTGACGGTCCAGCTGCATGCACAGCAGCTGCAGCTCTCCCTGCAGAGGCGATGGGGTGGGGGTGGGCGGTGGGCGGGACACGGGCCCCCGGCAGCCACAGTGGGGGAGGGGAACACAAGCCAGAGAAAGAGAAGGACAGATCTGAGTGACTGCTCAGGAGTTGGGCAGGAAAGGGAGGCGAGGCACAGGGCAAGTGGGGGCACGGGTCAGTATCCCTTGGGAACATCTGATGGGCAGAAGGAAGAGGCCCGGCTCCCCTCGGCCTGCTGCTTTCTCCACCTCCCACTCTTCCCAGTTCCTGGCAGTGGGCTGGGCCCCATTCCCGCAGCCCCAGCCCAGCCTCCTGGGAGACTCACGCGTTGGTCTGGAGCAATGTGCCGGCAGCTGACCACCACCCCGGCCAGTGTCAGGAGGCTGTGGCACAGGTAGCAGACCTGGAGGAAGAGCGCAGCCGGTTCCATCTTCCCCTCCGGCCCAGCCCTGGGCTTCCTGCCGCTGTCTCCGGGGAGCCGGGAGCCGACTCCATGGAGGATTCAGGCCCCACTCACTCATAGCTCTCCCCTTCATGATGACCTTCCTCCCTCCCTTCAGAAAAAGAAGAAAGCTCTGCCATCCAGGAAGCCACACCGTCACCCAGCCCTGTCCTGGGGCTCCGGTGGAGAGGGGCCTGTCCAGCCCGAGCTCTGCCTGGTGTCTGTGGTCTCTGCTCTGCTCCCTACGGCACCCACACCCATGGGCGCTGTGACTGGGTGCCACTGTCCTCTGTGTGGGTTCGCAGGTCCCTCGTGGGTGCCCAGCTCAGCCCTGAGTGGGACGCCCCCTGCACAGACAGATGTGCAGCGCAGTCCAGGCAGTCCCACTGCACTGACCCGAGGAGGCCAGCGAGGGGAGGGCAGGCAGATGGGAGGGGGTTTGTTGAGCATTTGCAGACCTCATCCACCTACCCACACCCTCGCTCTTCCCTGCAGGACACTGAGGGGTGAGAACAGGACAAAGGCCAGTTCTATCTGATCAGAGAATGGTGTGACCCCAGGGCGCCCTTGGACTTGTCGATGCCCATTCATTTATGGGACATTCACCTACTGTGTAGAGTAAAGGAGGTACAAGGAGCACCCAGGGACAGGCGAGGCTCCTGGCACTCAGTGGGCACACCCCCTCCCCCACTCAGAGGTGCCTGCTGCCTCTTCCCCTTCGGAATCCTTCCGACCATGATAGGAAGGGTGGCAGGAAGCAAACCCTGCATCGTGCCAGTGGCAGATAACCAGCCCTGAGGCTGAGCTGGGAGGGGAGAGGCATCCAGAGATGGCCAGCAGGGCTCAAACTTGGTGATAAGTGGGCTGGAGCTCAGAACCAGCCAAGGCCTCCCTCCCCTCTTTCCCCTGCCCTTATCATCCTCCCCATTTAGAGCACCTGGTGCTGGCCCCAGAAACAGTGGCAGCCTCCTGCCAGACCCAGCAGTCTCCTTAGGGCAGAAGCTAGAACCATTTTTAAGGGCACCAGACTTGGCGCTCTGGAGTACCACATTCTTGAACTCAAATACCACAGTGCGAAATCCTGAGGACAGAGGCCACCTGCCCCCCTCCCCTAGCAGCACCTGCCCGCCCCAGGACCCAGCCTGCTTGCTCTTCAGGACAACAGCTGAGGCCCACAGGTGGCTGATCCCACAGGCCGGCTGGGTCGGGCGGCACTGCATCCAGCAGAAACAGAAGACGCAGTGGGGAGAACCAGGGGGTTGGCCCACTGGGTGTGACTCCAGGCAGTGCTGCCCCCCAGCTGGGGAAGGTCCAGCCTCCCTGAGCCAGCTCCACCTGCTGGGTCCTCAGCCAGGCCACTGCTGCCCATGGGCTCTCCTTCCCCAGCCTGGCCTTGCTCCAGGGAGGCCGGCCACATTCAGAACTCCCCCTAAACTCTGCAGTCCTGGCAAATGGCTCCCCTGGCCCAAAGCAGGCTCAGGCCTGTGTGCCAGGCATTGTACCTTGACTAAGACACATCACAAACAAAAACATGTTAGGAGGAGAAAGAGACTTCAGGAAGGCAATCATTTGGTCAGCAAATACTGAATGTCAGCTTTCCCACAGACCAAAAGGAGAAAGGGTCCATCAAGTTTTTCTTTTTTTTCCCTGGGGGTTGGGATGGGGTGGTGGTGGTGCACAGCTCAGGAGCCTCCAGGGAGGAAGTGATTAAACCAAGCCGCAAAGGAACAGTAGGATTTGAGGTGAAGATGGCCCTGTAGGGGCAAGGGCACAGCCCGCCGAGATTATACCACCAAGACACAACCCGAAGCTGATGAAAGAAACAGAGGCAGGGCTCCCTGGCTGGAGCAGAGGGAAGGGAGGGGACACCCTGGGGACAGGGCTGACAGCAGAGGGTCCAGACAGTGGGTAGTGGAGGCCACTCAGTGCTCTGGAGCAGAGAGACTGGGTTGTGGGGGACAGACTGGGGGCACTTGGGGGAAACAGGCCATAGGATCCTTTGGGATGGAATCTACCAAAGTGAAAATGCGGCTCTCTGTGAAGGATTACACTTCCTCCTTCATTCTTTTTTTTTTTAAGATTATTTCTCTACAATTTGCATGCTTTACTCACAGACTCAGAAAGTAGTGAAAAACTTAAAGATTAATTTTAAACAAGACAATGCCATTGGAACTGAATGAGTGTAGCTGGGTCTGGGGTGGGTGCCGGGCAGGGAAGAGGGGGGTGCGACCTTGGAAAGCACTGGGGCCCCTCTTCGAGAGAGGCACTGAGCAAGCTGATGGTGAGAGGTGGCGGGAGAAGCCAAGGAAAATATCCAAGGGCGACGGAGCCGTCGGTTGGTGGCCGGTGGGAGGGTGGCTGGGAAGAGGCCTGTCTGCTGGGGCAGGTGTGAGAGCCTGTGGGGGGTGTGGCCGAGGCGGGAGGCAGACCTTTCACTTGTAAACATTCCCCACACCCCGGGGGCGGGGCAGGGGTAGTGCGGAGGCCCAGGCCCAGCCCCTTACCCCACCTCCTCGGCAGAATTTCTCCTCCTGGGAGGGTGGTGTGGTGAGGGTGGGCCTGGGATCTGAGGCTTGCTCTGGAGAGGTCTGTGCAGTGAGGATTTACTGACAGAAAAAAGCTGCTACGTGTGTGCAGGTTTCACAACTTCATTCTTAGGCCGATTCCCATAATTGAATCTGGAGGGAAAATCCCAGGAAAATTATTCTGAATGAGGGTGCTTTTTTTGTTGTTGGGATGGGACTCGCAAGAAGGAAAAGGTAGTTCTGAAGAAAAGCCCTGTTAACCACATTTTATAAGCCCTTTTTCCAAAGCTGGGGAACCTGCCCACTACCTGGAAGGAGGGCTGGGAGAGTTCTTTCCTTGCATTCGAAGGTGGCCCCTGGAGTTGGGCCTAAGTGAGGGGAGGCCCTTTAAGAAAGACTTTGATCCAGCTTGAGAGGGTGGGGTTCTGCCTGTGGTCAGAGATCATGCAGTACTTCGGGGAGAAGGGGCTTCGTTATCAGCAATGGTCACCCAGACCATTTCTCCCCTCACTTCCCGAGACCTCAGTCTCTGCATCGAGGAGAGGTGAGAGGGGGTCCAGACAGAGAGACAGACAGTGGTGCGGGTTGGGGCTGGGCAGGCAAGGCTTCTTCTGAGCCCCGACCCTCCCCCAGGCTCCTCTCCTCTGTCCTGTTTCTATGAAGTTCAGAGAAACAAAACACTAGCAGAAACAGGGGGCTCTGAGGCCCGGGGAGGCTGAACCTGGGCCTCCTCCCTCTGGACACCCCAGTGGCCGTGCTGAGGCTGGGACTGGCCTGGGAGCCTGGCAGGGACGGGCGGGCCGGGGTAGGACACTAAGTAAACAGTCAGGTGTGAGAGCTGCGCTTCCTGCTCCAGTTGCGCTGTGACCAATTCCTGAACTTAGCAAGCCCGGTCCTGTCCTGCTGGCACCACCGAGAAGTGGGGCTCTGTCCTCTCAAGGTGCAGGACTGGGAGGCTGGGCAGAGGCAGCTGGAGGGTGGAGGCCAAGCCCCCTGCCGGCTCCCAAGTCCTCCAGGGCAGCAAGTGCAAGGTGGCCCTTCCTCCAGCCCGAGGCCCCTCCCAAGTCCCTAAGGGCAGGAGTGTGTGTGTGTGAGGCTGGGAAGGAAGACCCCCATGGGAAACTGGGCCCGGAAACCTCAGTCAACAACTTGGGGAGAGTCAGAGTCTGAAGCAAGAAATGGGACGTGCCTGAACCCAGTGCTGACAAGAAAGGACAGTCCCCTGCCGCCGCTGCCAGCAAGGCTCACAGCTTCCGTCTTCTGGGTCTCTCCCCAGAGGCTGGCACGCCAACTTTTCTGAGAAGTTAGTTCTGTGGGGGCCGCCTCCTTCCCGGCTCTGGAGCCTTGAGGTGGCCCTGCCCTCCCCCAGGAGGGATGACACGGCTGAGAGATGGGAGACAGTCCACTGGGCTTGTCACCCACCGAGGGTTCTGGGCCAGGGCAAGGTCAGCGTCTCCTTTTGTAGGCCAGCTAGTTCTGCCCCCAGCAGCCACCAGCCCAGTCTCCACATGCAGGGCCTTCATCGTCAGACAAAAGGGAAAAGGGGCGGATGTTTCCCAGGAACTTCATCCTTTAGAAAATTCCCCTCTAGCTAATGCCAAGGGAGCTGCTGTGGGTTATTCACGCTAAGAGAGGGCAGAAAGGGGGAGGGAGAGGATCTCCCAGGAAGCCACTCGCTCAGCCAGAACATTAGAGTTTCTCCCATCTCAGGTCTGACCAAGAGCCCAGGGTCACTGAGGCAACCCTTCAGACCCAGCCCCTTCCCTGGAGGCTGCAGACAGGGTGGGGATAGCAGATCTACGTTGGCCGGAGGACCCTGCGGAGCAGGTCCAGCCAGGCTCCGGGCAGCCGCTGTTGGGGGAAGAACTAAGGCTGACCTGGGAACACCTGCTGGGGAGGAAAGAGACTGACTCAAAGGACACGGCCTTCCAGCCAGGCTGCTGGGGCCCAGGGGCTTGCACTGCAGGGGTCGCTGGCCCCAAAGGCCAATTGCTGCCTGGCTCCCTGCCTGGGAAGCCAGGACCCCAGAACAGTCTCCTTTGGATTCACTCCTCCAGGCGCACAGGCTCTGGGGGGTGGCTGCCCTGGGGGACCTACATTCACCCAGTCTGGCTGGGCTGCTCTCCGCTCCGTCTAGAAGGCCTGGAGGGCCAGCCCAGCCTGATCCCAGGAGGAGACCCCAGGAGACCCAGGAGAATTCTGCCATTAGTCCCCTCATTGCCACGGGTGGGTCCTCTCAGGGGTTTTGTTCCCTAGGAGACACTCTGGTGACACACATGTGCTGAAGATCAACTCTGGGAAGTCTGGGAAAGAATGAAGCCGTGCCAGTCTACCTTGGAGCATTTCAAACCCAAGGCTAGAGCTGGACCCTGATGAATTCCTTTCCTTCCTCTCTTTCACCTTTTATTAAGTTTAACCCTCTAGCACCACTTCACAGTGCCCTGCCCCTCACAGCGGGCTCACGGGGTGGGCTACTGAGCCTCCCTTCCGGTAGGCATGGAAGTTGGGCTTGGAGAGGGCGCCTGATGGCATGACCACCTCCAGTGAGGGTTAGGTCTGCAGCAGACGTGACAAGCTGTGTGCCTGCGTGTGTGCCTGCCTGTGGGTGTGTGTTCCCTAAAGGGGATTTAACACTGGAGAGAGATCAAGGTCCTCCTGCACTACACAGCCAGGGCCGGAGGGCTGCTAGAGGCAGGACAGGGAGAGGCTGACGCTCCCCCCTCCCCACCCCAGGAGGGGAGGGGAGCGGGCTGCAAGCCTGAGCCCCAGGGCACCAGTCTAGGTCCTCCACCACACACAGGCTAGGCAAAATAACAGCAAAAATAATTAGTCATGAGTAATCCTGAGGTAGGGCTACTTGTGGGCCCCAGGCCAAGAGCCTCGGCTTGCCTGGCTAGTGTGTCCATAGAATTCAAGATAAGAGGGGATGCATTTTCTAGGTGAACCCAATCTGGACATGTCCTGGGTGTGGCATCTGCCACCATCTCTGGGCCTTTCTCCGCGCCCCTACAAGTTAACTGCATGACTTAGTCCCCTTGCCCAGGCTGCCCTTGTGCCACAGTTACACTCCCTGACCTTGGCTTGGACAAGCACTAAAGCAGCAGGCAGAGAGCTGCGCCCAAAGGAAAGCTGAGTTTGGAAGTGACTCTGACTGGGACAGGTCATCGGTCATAAGTCCTAGCAAGAAGGAAATGACAAGGACACACAGCCCATCACTAGGAAATGACATGGTGACACAGCACTTCTTCTTAGCCCAGGGTCCTTGAAAGCACAGGGCACAGAGGCTAAGGACAGACGTCACAAGCAGGGTCTGCCAGACTCACCCTGGGGCGTCCAAGGCCAGACACTCCATTCTGTAAATGAAAGTGCCTGTTCAGGCGTGAGGGTGGGTGGAGCCCTTAACATGGAGCAGGATGAGGCCAGCTGAGGGTGATGGGAGACAGGCTGGCAGCATCTGGATAGGACCAGGACTTCGGCCCAGCTGCTGGGAATGGCCATTGCCTAGAAAGTTGCTCTCAAGGCCCCAGCTGGACAGAGATGGGATCTCTCTGCTGAGGCTGCCAGAGGACCTCAGGGCCCATGATGTGTCCACCTCCTCAGATTCCTCGGAAGGTGAGCCCCTCACCTGCTCTTCTAGCTGCCCAGAGGAAGTGGGTTCAGAGACCCTGAACTCACGTCACAGGGAAAGAGGGATTCTTTTTAAAGCTCCACCCTGAACTTGGGATTGGACTCTGAGCACCCCCGGCCCCTGCTCTTGGCAGTGAGCACAGGGAGGGAAGTAGGAGGCCATGGCACAGTGGGGCCAGGTGGGGAAGAGATGGAGCTGAGACAAAAGCAGGAAGGCTGCGGGCTTTTCGTTCCTGTGGATCTGCTGCAGGGGGTTATCTCGGAGCATCTGCCCCAGCCCTGTGTTTGCGGGTGGGAGGGACAGAGGGGCTGCAGGCAAACCCTTGCTCCCACCCAGCCCACCCTTCCTTTCTGGTTTCCTGCTGGCCGTGGCGGGTGGGGGAGGTGACAGCTGGGATTGGCTGGCTCTTCCTGCTCCTCCAGCTGGGACCAGAGACCCTGACCCCAGGGGGATCTGGAACGGAAACCCAGCTCTGCTGGCTGCCCAGAGAAGGACAAGATTCTTGGTGCCTATGTTTGAGAATCTATGCCTGGGTGTGCACGTGGGCATCCGTATGTGGGTGCCAGTGCTAGAGGGAGCCCCCAGAACCAGCCAGGGTGTTGGCAGGGGCATCCTCCAGGGACCAGAGAGGTCCTACCGAGTTGGAGCTTCCTCAAAAGCCATTTCCTCAAAAGCGATGGCTTCCTCCCTTCTCTTATCTTTCTCTCTCAGCAAACTGTCTCCTGGAGTGCTGGCATGGCCAGCGCCTGGGAAGCACTGCCCTCCCTATATTCTCCACAGGTGTTAGAGCACAGGGCACTGCCCAGGGCTGAAGACCAGGGGAATGCCATGGACACTAAGGTTTCCCCTCCTGTGTCAGAGTCCCAGCCTCCTGTCCCCTACACCAGAGGCCAAGGTGCCACATAGTGAGGACTTCAGCTCTGACTCCAGGGGAAGACATGTGACCCAGGCCGGCCAGTTGCTGCAAGCCTGGCCACGTGACTGGCTTAGAGGTGAGCACGTGACCCAAGCCAAGCCAACGAGACTCAACTCTGGGACTCCGTTGGGACTCCAGGACAGAAGCTCGCTCTTTCCCCCTGGCTGGGCCTGCGGAGGGGAGGAAATAGGCCTGGAGTGTCTCAGAAGCAGCGGGAAAGCTGCCTGTGAATGCACGAAAGAGCAGAGCCAAGAGATGCAGAGAGCAACATTGAGGTTTCATGACACTGCTCGGCCCTGGTCCAGTTGAGCCTGTCCCAGGACCTTTCAGGACGTGTGTATGTGTGTCCATCACTACAGAGTCCTGGCGAAGACAGGGTGAGAAGGGACAGAAAGGCGGTGAGCAGGAGAGCAGTTGAGCAGGCAGTGGTCTGCCTGGAACTGCTCCTCCACACTGAGGACAGCCAGAGAGGGACCTCACACATCCTTCCTGCCCCCCATCAGCTGCGCGGTGGGAGCTATGCCCAAGGTGCTTAGATGTGGCTCTTAGAAGGCACTGTTTTCTCCATCTGTACTCTGCACTCTGCACGCCGGAGGCAGGTGGGTGCGGAAGGGTGCAGGGGAGGTGGGGAAGGATCCCTCACCAGGCTGTACCTACTTAGGGCAGGCATTTTGATGGGAAATGTGGGGCAGTTGAGATAGGCCCTGGACCCGGCCCTCAAAGGAGACTCTGCTCAGGTGTGTGAAGCAATGTGTGGGCAAGCCATGGGTTAAGCAAACAGACTGTAATGACCACCAAGGACAGGAGAGACAGGAAGCCAAGTTCAGGAGAGACAGGCCCCAGAAGAAGGACCAGCAGGAGCAAAGACACGGGCCTGAGAATGGAGGGCTTCTGGGGAAGACACCCAGTGCTTGGAATCAAATGGAGTGGCTTGATTCGCAGGAGAAAAACCCCATGGATGAACTAGGGCCAGCTGACCAAGACCTTGGATGGCAGAGCTGGAATATGCTGTGACAGGACTGCTTTTTCCTGAGTCAGACTGGGAGGAAGATCACAGAGCTGTCCAGGAGGACTTGAAGGATGCAGGGACTGAGGTAGGGCGTTAGGTCAGAAGCACAGGAGTCACCCGCGTGGGGTAAGGACTGTGCGGATGGGAGGGACCCCTGAAGGGTCCTTAGGAGGACTGAGCCTGGGGTGGCCCAGGGCAGGGAGCAGGCCCAGAAGCTGTTGAGGACTCAAGCTGGCAGAACTTGAACAAAGGCTGCCTGCAGAACCCAAGCCTGCCCTTCCCAGCAAAACGTGGCTTTAAGCCCCGTTCATAGGCTTGCAAAGAAGCCAGAATTCCTGGGACTCAGTCAAAGCTGGCCTGGGCCCCAGGAGCCTTCAGATGCTCAGAGGTACCCATTCTGGGGAGGCTCCGCAGCCACTCAGGTGGGTGTGCCATGAGGCTGATGCACGGATCCCCATTTGGGGTCGGCTTCCCTGAGTCACCTCTTTGAAGTTTATTTCAAAAGATGTCAGAGGTTCCTCGTTTTGAAGGAGGTAAGGAGGAACCGCAGACTGGCCAGAGGAGGATCTCAGGAGTCCTGAATATCCGTTGTCCATTCTTCAAAACCTGTAAGTTTTCTCCCAACCCTCCTAATCTTGGCCTGACCAAGGTCCTCCGCCTGGTGGGCGTGGTTCTCCCCAAGGTGCAGGGCACAGGGCAGGAAGTGCAGGGGAGAAGGCGGAGCGTGGAAGGAGAGGGAGGTTCTGGCTCCACCTGTCCTTCCAGGGGACACAGGGCAAGGAGGCTGTGCCCCAGCCAAGCCTCAGGGAGTCCACGCCTCCCCTTGCTGGTGCTGAGTGCTGGTGGGAGAGGGCAGAGCGCAGAGCTGCTGGAGGGCAGGGTGCCCTCCCGTCCTCTCCCCAAACCTCCCCAGCCACACCCCAGGCACTTCAGACAGCTCTTGGAAGGGTCACCCAACACAGGGACAGGCCAGCACAGGAACAAAAGCGGTAAAACTTGTTTGTCAACTCTGTTAACACATAAGCACACCATAAAGACATATAGGAGATGCACACGCACGTGCGCACGCACACGTATGCAGGCACACGGCAGGCCCATGCCCTCTGCAGAAGATGTACAGAGACCCCAGGAGGGAGTTCAAAGAAATCTGTGCAGCAGGGTGGGGTTACCCTAGAGCATCACCCAAGCTCTGAGCACACCCCACCCCTTCACCCGTGCATTTCTCCTATAAACAAGCCCTCCCTGAGCCCCACAAGCACAGAGCCTGCAGCCATGTGTGGGGTGAGGAAGCCGACTGGAGTCACCTGCAGCCTCCAGGCTGTCTGGGTGCACTGGCCCCTTGCAGCCGGCCCCGGGGGACAGGGACCATCACAGATGCAGAACCCTCAGTGGGCCCCAGATTGCCTGTCCCATGAGGACACTCGTCAGGCTCTGAGGAGGACATTCCCAGGAGGTGGACGAGGACAGGGAACCAGTTCCTGGTGCCTCAATGCAGCCCCAACTCTGGGACGCCCACCTCCCTCTGTGGACCTTAGTTTTCCTTCCACACAATGAGAGATAGTTAACTTCCTCAAAGTTCCTAACTGTAACCAAACTGGGGAAAAATTTCCACTCTACGAAAAAGATCCTCATTCTGTAGAACTTTCAGATCCCTCTGGGCAAAACAGAACCCAAAATTCCTTCACTATAGCTTCTACGCTGCAAAGGGCCCGGGGAGAAGGCAGAACAGCAGGGAAGTGTGGTAAACAGTGGGTTTAACAAGACCAAAGCATCAGTCATCTGGATAAATGTGAATAAATCTGGCCAAATACGGTTGACGTAAGTCAGCTAAATGAAAACTAAAGAAGCCTCAGGAAACCCCTGGTTTTGTGCTGGACGGCTGAGCTGGTCGGTTTGAGGGGACAGTGGCAAACTGAGTCCCGTTCCCTGACATGTGTTTGCGCAGGGGCCAGAAGGACAGTCACACACACAGAGGCCTGGGAAGGAGCTGGCCTCTTGCAGAATTGGTACCCATGGGCCCGAGGGAGGCACCTGTCAGCCAACTCTTGGAGCACACTCCTGCGTTAAAACATCCTTTCCCACCTCTCTCACACAGAGCACCTGTCTCTTGCGGGGCTGTCCCAGACCCCCAAGCATCATTCTGACCAGATGTGCATTCTCCTCCAGGAGAACCCCTCTCAAACCAGGCAGCCCGGGGCCACCAAAAATCACTGAGGGGCTGAGCAACTTCTTTATCCAAAAGCACTTTAAAATGCTCAAAGTATTCTAATCATTCCGTTCACAAGCAGGATTCTTATCTTTCACATGAGCATGGCTGTGATTTGCTCGGACACACGGTGACTCTGACTCAGCGAGGACAAGCACCCCCCTCCAGTCCCCTCCCACGGCCCATCCCGCACCCACCCCTGCAGTGTTGCACAGGAGCACGTTGCTTCTTGTGTTGAACCGTGGTAGCTTTGCCAGGCAAGAATCTTACCAGCTTATAATTACAAACGATGCACTGTGATTGGTTCCCTCATAAGCAGGTAACACTTCTGAAGTGAAGGGTCCCCAACAGGAGCAGCTCAGGCTATAAAACCCTTGGAGCCTTAATGAAACAAGGACCTTAAGAGACAGAGGCTGGTCTGAGGGCAGAGGGTGTGCAGAGGGAGGGCTCTTTCCAGCATGGGGGTGGGAGGGCAGAATGGGGTGGAAGAGGAGAGTTCAGAGAGGGAGAATTAAAATTGCATTCATTCATCTGTTCATTCACTCAGTCACCTAGCACCGAACATACCATGCAGTGCTGACACCAGCTGTGCCCACAGTCTAGCTGGGGAGACGGACAAGTCAGGGGACAACTGCAAAGCCAGGGGATCAGCGAGGTGAGAAAGTCATACCCTGGGCACCAGATGGCAGCTCGCCCAGCCTCCAGGGAAGGCGGGACAGGGACAGGGACAGGGAAGAAGGCTGGGAGCCTCCCTGGGGAAGGAGGAGCCTGGGCCAAGGCCCCAGGCAGAGACAGGAGGTGGGGAGACCAGGGGGAGTGGAGGCTGGCAGAAGTGTTTATCTGCAGGGCGGGAGGAGGGCTGAGACCCAGCAGTTCTGGGCAGGAAATCTCCCAGACGGGAGTGAGCAGGGCCTGGGGGATGGGGCCCAGCATCATGGCCCCAGGGGACAGGGCCCAGCAGGGCTGCCCCAAGCGCTGGGAAAGGGTTTGTCCTCACTTCCTCCAGGCTGGGTCGCCTCAGGCCAATTTCATTTGGCCTTAGTTTTCCGAAGCGCCTCAAGGAGAAAGAAGGCAAAGACTTTGAGCTCTGGGGATGAAAGGCTCAGACCACCACTCCCTGTAAAACAGGGCGGATGACGCCGCTGCTCTGTTTGGCGGGTGAGTAGCCTGATTGTCTTTGAAGATGAAACATGCTCGGGCCTAATGAGGAGTCAGTTGGCTGAGGTGGGAGTGGGGCCGGGCAGCGGGAGGCCAGGCACCTGCCCCACCTGGTCCGTCCCCGTCAGAACAGTGCCGGCCCAGGGGGACAGAAGGCTTCACTTTTCTCTGCAGACCGCTGGTGCCCGGCCACCAGCCCCAGCTCCTCCTCGCCCTCTTCTGCTATCAGGCCAGGATCCATCCCAGGTGGCAAAGGCATCTGATAGCTGCCCTGGACCAGCACGCCCTGCACTTCTCGGGTACCCAGCCCCTCATGTTTCCAGGCCAAAAGAGTAGTTTCCAATGTGGCAGCTGGATCAAGGGGACACTTCACGGCCTCCCTGACATGCGTGAGGACAGTCCGCACAATAGAAGGGGACTCGCAGCCCGCTCACTCCCCTCGCTTCCCAGGCTGTTGAAGGGGCACCTGTTGCTACATGGGCTCTGGGATGCCATGAGCCAGATGGCACCCCCGGGCTTGTACGAACACCACCTCTGCCAGGCGAGGCCAGGAATGGCCCCAGGGCGCCTGGAGGGCACACCCTTCGCTTGGCCCAACCGGAAACAAGTCTCCTTTTTCCTCTCTCACCACGCCCCTTCTTCCTCTTTTCCTTCCCCCCAGCCCAGGCCTGGGGCCTGCCTACCTGTGTCCTGCTCAGACAGACCACCCCAGGGCCTGACCCCGCCTCCTTTCTAGAGCCCCCAAACACCCGGATTCAGCCTCCATAACCAGCTACAGTTGCCCGGGAAACAGCTGCCAGAGGAGAACGGGGCATGTAGACAGCTCACACTCTCCAGGGAGGCGGCAGCCTCGTAAATGCACGGACATTAGGCACGGCTGAGAGGTAACCTTGCCTACGTGTTTCAGAAGAGGACACACACCTGGGGGTTACCCTATCTTCTTAACAGTTCATTTGTGTGCATTAAGTAATTAATTCACTTATCTGATTTGCAGAATGATGCCTAAAGGTTGGTCTTCTGGATCGTCAACATCCAACCTCTGGGTGAGGTTTTAGAATTAGCACCTTCCTCAATTAGGAAGATGCCTTTCTGCACCCTTCACGCCTGAGTCCCCAGGGATGGGGGCTCACTGAGCTCTACCCCCAGCTCCCCAGGGAACCGGGCTTGGGGATCCCAGTCTGAGGCCCCTACACTACCACCTCTGCTTGACACTCACCCCAAAGGCCACAGGCCTCACCAACCCAAGCCCCACAGCCGCAGGCTCTGGGGTGCCTCGCTGGCCCTGACTCCCGAAAAAGCATGGCTTTCAGGAAAGCCGGGCAATGTCTGGAAAGTCAATCAGGAGGAACTGGGGAAAGGCCAAGGACTCAGCCTCAGTGAGGACCACAGCGAACAGGAACAGGGAGGCTGGACCCAGCTCTGCAGGGGAAACACAGTACCTCTCACATCCGAACTCTCCCTGCGCTTCTCCTTCAAAGTGCTCCCTTCCCGCCCCACTCCCTCTGCCAGCACTTCAGCTCCCGTGTCCTCTCTAAGCTGCGCTGTGAGACTAACGGAGCACCCACGGCTGACAAGCCTAGCCAGGCCGCACAGGACCAGCAGGGCCAGGCGGATAGGCAGGCATGCGGCCAGCACGCCTAGGTCCACAGCGCCTCACTGAGCCTCCTGGAGGGTCCTGGGCAAGGACTCCTGGTTACAGGTTTTGCAGAGGAGTTGGGGAGGCCGCTGGCTGGGCTCTGTCTCTCGGAGCCCTGGGGTTTTAGGATGGGCAGCCCTGCCTTCCCCACTGCCCTGCGGCGGCGTCCTGCCGGAGGTGGGCAGAGGCCGGGTGCTCACCTTGTGGTCTAGCTGGGCACTGGCCTTTGGCTGTTTCTCCCGGCTGAGCGGTAAGGTCTCTGAGCCCAGGTACTGCTTCAGGAATGATGGCCGCATGAGGCTCAAGAGCTGGCCGAGCGAGGACAGCTGTGGAGGAAAAGGAGGCCATCAGTGCCAGGGACAGCTTGGGGTTGCTTGGCCTGCCCCACACCCCCTAGCTGGCAGTGGTGGGTCAGAGCCTAGGCTCTGGAGCCAGACCACTGGCTTCCACAACCTGGGTGCACCTCTCACTTGGGAGCAGCGTGGCCCCCTGGAGCCTGTTCCTGCCGTGAAATGGAGACAAGCACATCCCTTCTTCCCAGGAGAGGAGGCTCACACGCTCACAGTGCCTGGCACAGGGCGAGCCTCCCTTAAACCAGTGAACCAGGAAGACCTCCATAGGTTTCACCCACATCCCAGGGTTAGCAGGCACGCCAGGTTTAGGAGAACCAGGACCAGAAGAGAGGGTCTCCTCTGCCACTGGGCAAGACCCTCCCCGGCTGAGCTGCTGCACATACCCGCTGGCCCTCTCTGCCAGGGCCCCCTCTTTTCATGTAACTTGTTACTCCGGGGGTTTTCAGCAGCCTTGAAAGAGGAGGGTCTGAGGACTACCCCAGGCCTATCACTGTGAATGTGAATAATGACTGTACTCATCACCCCGCAACCCCCCCCACCTTTTTCCTTCCAGAGGATTTTAAAGCAAATCCGAACACTGAACATCATATCATTTTACTCATAAAGAGCTTCTAACAGGAAAGGATAAGGACTTCTTCCCAAACATAATCACAATCTCGTCTTCTTGCCCAAGAAAATTACCAAGGATCCCTTATGTGATCAAACACCTGTGCCCGGTTTTCTCTGATTGTCTCAAAATGTCCTTATGCAGTTGCTTTGTTGGAATCAGATTCCCCACAACAACCCCACGCTGCCATCTGGTTAATATATCACTCAGTCCACCAGCCGCCCCACCCCCATTTGAACTGCCCACTCTCTCTGAACAACTGGAGGCACAGGCGTGCATAAATCCAGGTGTCTGCAGCAAGCCGCTCCTTCCCACCCAGCCCCTGCATCTGGCTTGGGCGGCCTCGGCTGAAACCCAGCAAGGACCATCAGCTGCCCCAGAGCTAACTTGGCTGGGGCTTCAGAGAGCAGGCAGTCTCTAAGCCCAGGGCCCCTCTAAGGTCCCATGTAACCCTGGGGTGTAGGGATACAGAACAAAGGAGCAGGGCCCGGGGAGTTCACAGAGGCACCAGCTCTTTAGATGCAGCAGGTGTAGGCTGGCCAAGAGGGCGAGGGCTGAGCCCCTGGCCCAGCTTCTTGCCCCAGCCCAGCCCAGCCTGGCACACCTGGCTTCCTCTTTCTGAATCACCCGCAGACACCTGCTCAGCATGTTGGCCTGCCGCGGGCTTAGGACAGCCCACAAGAGCAGCTGGGCTGGGTGAGGGCTAAGAGTCAGGCCCAGGGCCTTGGCTCCTGGAAGGCGGCCAGGGCTTCTTGGCCGAGTGTGTGATCCCTTTAGAAAGGGAGAGCAGGAGGCAGGGAGAGAGAAAGAGGGAAGTTCTAGGCAAAGAGAAGCACCATCTGCAGCTTCATCAAAACCAGAGCTGTGCTGCCTTGTTTAGGCCTTGAAAATCTGGGGAGAGTTTCCAAAACAGCCCTGCCCGCTCGCTTGGGCTCACAGCTGTGCAAGCACAGGGGCGGGCTCCGCTGCCCACGCCCCCCAGAAGCAGCCCTCTGGCAGGCAGCCCCGCCCCAGCTAGGACCCTCCCTGCCTGGAGCCCTGGGCGGAGCTGGGCAGGGGAGCTCACAACAGAGGCTTTTCCTCTCACTCCGTGAAAACAGCTTCACTCTGCTCAGGGCAGCGAGTTGAGCTGCTGCCTTCTGCTCGCTTATTGCATTTTGTTTCCAGTGCTGGCAGCCTCAGCCATCCTTTCTCCAGCAGACACACCCTTCTCTGGGATAAGGGCTTATTTGGGCCACGTGGGTCCCAGCAGGGCCACGGCCTGACCAGCACATGTCCCCACGTTACCCGCACCGCTTGGAGCCATCTCGGCAAACACTCAGCCCATTAGGACAGACACCACCAAGCAAGAAGCAAATGATCACCCAAAAAGGCAAGGCCTCCCCTGGCCTCATCAAGAGGCGGCAGATGAGCTCCAGTGAGGCAACTGGCCACACAGCGGTCTCTCCTGTGCTCAGACCCCAGCAGCTGCCTCTGTTTGCCCAGTGGAATAGGCCAGGATCTTAAGTGTCTGGGAGGCCCCAGGTGGCCCCGCTGCTCCTTGGAGCCTGTGCCCAGACTGGACCTTCTGACCAGACACTGCACAGCTGCCCGCCCCGCTTCCAGACTTCCACCAGGCCCACCTTCCCAGCGAGGCCCGCCCCAGCTCCCAGCCACCACCCAGCAGTCCGCAGCACCTATACCTGCTAATCCCCTTACCCAATTTTGTTTCCAAAGCATTCACCACCTTCTGAACTGCTACGTAATTTACTTGTCTGTTATGTTTATGATCTGTCCCCCTCCCCAACTAGAATGTAAGCACCATGAGGGCAGCTTTGGTCACTGCAGTGTCCCCAGAGTCTAACACAACACCCGGCACATGGCACAGTCGTCCTCCCTTATCTGAGGTTTCACTTCCCACGGTTTCAGATACCCGTGGTCAACCGAGATCCAAAAATACTAAATGGAAAATTCCAGAAATGAACACTTTGTAAGTTTTTTAATTGCACACCCTTCTGAGCAGCGTGATGAAATCTCGTGCAGTCCTGCTCCATTTCTCCCTTTGTCTGGGCGGTCCCACCCATTACTCACTTAGGGGCCATCTCAGTTATCAGAGTCACTGTCACAGTATCACAGGGCTTGTGTTCTTGCATTCAAGTAACCCTTATTTTACTTAGTAACGGTCCCGTGCACAAGAGGAGCGATGCTGGCAGCTTGGATATGCCAAAAAAAAAAAAAAAAAAAGGCTGTAAAGTGCTTCCTTTAAGCAAGAAGATGAAAGTTCTTGACTTTTTAAGGAGAGAAAAAAAATCGCATCTCAAGGTTGCTAAGATCTATGGTAAGAACAAATCTATCCACAGAATTGTGAAGAAGGGAAGAGAAATTCTAGTTCTGCTACTGCATCTCAAACTGCAGAAGTTACAGCCCAGTGCATTAAGTGCTTAGTTAAGATGGAAAAGGCACTGATTTTGCACAGTAAAATACTTTGAGAAAGACCACATACATGGCTTTTATTACAGTACATATGTTACAATGCATTGTTCTATATCATTGTTCTTAATCTTTCTGTGCCTAATTTATAAGTGAAACTTTATCAGAGATAGGAATGTATAGGAAAAAACATATATATATATATATATAGGTTTCGGTACTATCCAAGGTTTCAGGCATCCACTACCCTCTGGAATGTACCCCCCGTGGAAAGTAGGGGCTACTGCATACATTTAATAAAAATTTGTTAAATGAACAAATGAGTGAATAGCAGGTCAGGTCTGCAGCTGGCCTTTCCATAATGGATGCAAACCCTTGTCCCCCTTGATTTCGGCCACTTCAAGCCCATTTTCCAAACTCCAAACTGGAAGGCATGGTTGGACAAAAGAGCTTTGCTGTGTTGGGAGAGGTGGCCTGGGATAAGAAACAGACTCCCATTTGCTCTCCAAAGCCGCGCTGCCTGTGTCTTGCCCATCTCGGTAAAGGCTCCCCAGCCTGCCGGGGGCATACATCGTGGAGCCCTCCTCGCCTCCTTCCTCTCACATTCCATATCCCACTGGCCGTACCTGGGAAACACACCTAGAATCTGACCACTTATCACCACCTACGTCACCATCTCCCCGGGGCCAAACCAGAGTCATCTCTTATCAGCATGACTGCAATTGCCTCCTTCCACCCCATCCCCCATAGTCTACTCACAATACAGTGGTCAGTGTAATTTTAAAAGATTTCATAAATCAGATTATGTTCCTCCTCTTATGAAAACCTTCCAATGGCCCTCCACTTTGGCATGGAAGTCAAGACCCCATCTGAGTCCCCAGTTACCTCTCTGACCTCAACTCTTGCTGCTCTACCTTCAGCCTTCTGCTCTAGCCACACTGGCCTCTGTTTTTAATTCAACCTAAGAGGACTTTGCCTGCTCCAGTGCCTTTGCACTGGCTGTTCCCTCTGCCCAGAATGCTTTCTTCTAAGAAACCTACATGACTCCTTTAGGTCTGTGCTCAAATGTCCCTTCTCTGTTCACCCTCATTCTCCCAACACTCCCTCTCCTCTTTATCCTGCTTTACTTTTCCCCATATGGTGTATCATCACCCGGAATGATTTCTTTCTTTCTTGATGCCTGTCTCCCCCTGAGTCTCACGAGGAGGGGACTGAGTTCTGTTCAGGGCTGTATCTTCTGTGCCCTGAGCCGTGTTTGGGGCACACTGGTGTCTGAGGCCAAAACCCCACTGTTTCTAGGATATTCCCAGGATTCATGGGAACAATAGGAAGCAGTTTGACCCTGAGACTCTCCTGGACGATACAGCCTTGGGGTTGTTGCATCCTGGCCACCTACAGAAGTCTTGTTCCTCAAATTCAGTTCTCCAGCACCTGTTCTGCTCCTGGGACCTCAGACTGCAGCCTGAGACATAGAACCAAGCAATCCAAGCATCAGGGACTCCTGCTCAGCAGTGCCCTGAGAATCCTCTGCCTGGGCACCCACCCCAGATCCTCTCCTGGAGAAGTGGGGAAAGGGGGAGTGTGGGCTTGATGTGGGTGGCTGTGGGGCCGAGGTGGCCCTTTGAAGGCGTGTTTCATGAGGATCTGTCTGACAGGCCAGACTGGAACGGGGAGTGTCTGCAGCCTGGAGCCCTGGGAGGAGGACTTGCAGCAGCCCCAAGCTTGCAGTGGGGACAGGGAGGCACATCGGGAGCAGAGCGCCGCGGGCAGGCCCGAGCTGGTCCGTCTGTCCTTCGAGCCACCGGGAGTCTGGCGCGACTTTGCACCGCTGCCTGCCCGCCTGCAGACGGTCTCTCCTCATGCAGCACCGGCACTGACTCATCCTGCAAGACCTGGCTCAGGACATCTCTGGAAGCCACTTCACTGCCCTCAGGCAGAATTAGTCATGGTGCCCTCAGCCTGCCTCGCTCACACCCTCTTCTTTGAGGTTGTCTCCTGGGGCAGAGCCCGGCACACACAGGCGCTCAGCCAGGGTCTCATGAACAGACAGGCGCACAGTGGGCACACGGGCAGGTGGGTGGCTGGCGTGGTGGGGACGCGCTGGGGCTGGGAACCACAGGGGCAGGGCCAGACCCAGCTTGGTCCCTGGCCGGCGGGAGCTCCGGGGCAGCTCTCCCTGGAGGAGGCATCCCCACCCTGACCAGCCCTGTTCCTTGCCTGCCCCGCAGGTCCCCTCTAGGCCCAGACCACTCCCCTCACCACCTCTGGCCTTCATTGTGTTCCCCCCACTCTCCCATACACAGGTTTGACCAATAAAAAACAGATGGAAACAAAACCCCAGGCCTTGAACTGACTCTGATGCTCCAGCCACCCTCAGTCTTCCTGGTCAATGCCAAGTGCTGCTGGAGGGCGGCCACACCCACCCCCACCTGCACTCGCTCCTGCCTTTTCTTTTTTTTTTCTGAATTTCTTTTTAAAAATTTTTTTAATTCAAAACATTTGCTGTCCCTCCCTTGGATGTCCTTTCTTTTTATTTTGCACTTTTTTTTTTAAATTAAGTATCATCAATTTATGCCCGGTTACAGTAATGCTGTCTTAATTTCTGGTGTACAGCATGGCGACTCAGTTATACATATATATATTCCTTTGCATATTGGTCTTGCCTTTTCTGATCTTCACACTCCAGCCTCTCACCTGCTGTGCTCACACTGTGCTCTGTTCTCTGTGGCCGTGCTCCGGCCACTGCCAATGTCTGTCAACCAGGCTGCCCCCGCTCCCCACTGGAGCCCTCAGGGACCACTCAGTCTTGTCCCGGTTGCTGAGTCTCTGCCTGCCCCTGCCCCTGCCCCTTCCCCTAATGGGTCAGACCCTTCGTTCTTCTCGCAGAGGCTCTGTCATCAAGCTCTCTCCTCTGTGAAGTGACCCTTGTGCAGGACCCCTCCCAAGGTCTCTGCCCCGGGGAATGGTCCCTTGCACACCCTGGAACTCAACCTTAGGTTCCTTCAACCCACAAGTCTGCGGTGAAGTCCTGTGTGCACCAGGCACTGTGCTACGTGCCGAGGGACAGCAGTGAGCAGAAACCATCTGATCCCTGCACTCAAGGTGCTGCTGTTGGGGGTGTGTGTGTGTGTAAACACAGACCCTGAACAAATAAATTTTTTAAAAAGTCAGGAGGTGAGCACCATGAATGTTTTCAAGCAGGGTAATGGTGCCAGGTCACTGTGGGTGGGGCAGTCAGGGTCTCCTGGAGGAGGTGACACCTCAGCTGGAACTGGAGCGATAAGAAGCTGCCGCCATGCTACGTCTCAGGGGAAAGCAGGTTAAGGCAAAGGGCAGCCTGGGCGAAAGCCAGGCCGGGCCCACTTGGACAAGCCAACCTGCTGGGTCACCTTTCTGAGTTCCTGCCCTCCTCATGGCATCTCAGACTCAGCCATATTGTCCATCCTGCCCCAGGAGGGCCCGGAACATTCTCTGGGCACTCTGGGCAAGGGGTCACTCGGCTTGCCTCGTACACCTCGGGGACTGCCTTGCCTCTCTGCTGCTGAGCTAGAGGGCTCTTCTGGGACTCCCAGGAGATTCCTGGAGGGCAGGTGGGAGGTGACAGCGTTCTCAACCTCCCTGCCACCCACCGCTGGGCTGGCTGTGACCCACGCTGCCGCCAGGGTCCCTGAACTACTGCTCTCTGAGCTGCAAGGGGGTTGTGGCCGGAGAGAAGAGGGTGAGGAAAGAAGGCACTTGGCTATGTCCTGCTGCCCCAAGAGTGCCTGGCGCTGGGGCAGAAGGGACGCTGGGTGTGAGCAGTGTTAATTTAGCAGTGTTTGTTTCCATCTTTATTGTTTTTCCACCTATAAAAAGTAACAGAAGCAGGGCTGGGGGAGGAGGGAACAGAGATTTGGTGTTCAGTGGGTACAGAGCTTCCGTCTGGGAAGATAAGTGAGTTCTGGAGGTGGCTGGTGGTGACGCCTGCACGAGACAGTGAATGTGTGTAAGACCTTGGAACTGCACACTTCAAGACGGTGAGGACTCTACACTCAAAACTGTTAAGATGGTTAAAAAAAACCCCTCAAAGTGGTCAATGTAATGCTCTGTATATTTTACCACAATTTTTTGAAAAAGTAACATATGTTCCCGGCTCACTGCTCTATCCTTAGTGCCTAGCACATTGTTGACATGCGAAAAGTCATTGTTGAATGCAAGGATGTGAGTTAAAAATTCAAACTCCCCTTGACTCCCCTGGCCTGAGGCCCCCAGTCTTCCGGAAAAGCAGCAGGAGCGAGCTGGCCGCGGGTTTCCCCAGGCCCCAGCAGGTGCGGAGGCACGGACTCACCTGGGCCTTCTCCTGCCAGAGAGGGAGCGTCTCTTGCCGGCCCAGCAACCGGGCAATGATCAGGAGGCTGAGCTGGCTTCGAAGCTGCCTGTGAAAGAAGGAGCGAGAGACATTAAGGGCGTGGAGGATGGGAAGCAGGGTGGAGGGCCTGTCTCCACCAAGAAGGTTACATCTTCCTTGTGCCTCCACAGACTTGTTGCCCGCAGCGGGCAGCAGATGTCAGCCCCTGGCATGGACTTTGATGTGGACACAGTCCCTAATTCCTGCAGAAAGCCACCACTGAAGGAAGCAAAGGAGAGGTCCTGAAGCTGGAGGGAACCTAAGGAGCATAAAGGAAAACCCACTTAGGCCGGAACCAGCCCCACAGAATCCCTGGAATGACCCTGTGAGGAAGTGAAGGACCGGACATCGAACGGCAAGCCACAGGCAGCCTTCGGAAACGACGCTTCCCTCAGGAAGTACTCTGGGGAGGCAGGACTGGGTGGCGCTCCAAGGCGCCCCTGCCGCTTCCCCAGGCCTCCCAGGCGGTGGGGAGCTGAGGTGGGAATGGCCGCCTCCGAGCTCCTGTGGGGCTGGGCAGGTGATATCTGAAGCCATTGTTTATTTTCCTACTCAAGAAAGTCAGAGGCGTCAACAAGGCAAGAGGCTCTTGACTAAAAAAGAAGAAGAAGAAAAAAAAAAGCAACGTCAGGCAGCAGCACTGCATACCAGACAGGCAAACATGGAAAGAGGGGAAATGCTCACACGCAGCTCGTGGGAAAATAAATGGGTAATGGGTACATCCACTCCCGTCCACTGTTGGGCAAGACCTAGTAAAGATGTACAGATGCCCACCCCGTGGCCCAGCAGCCCTACTCCTGGGCACATGTGTACACAGCGCACGCGCGCACACACACACACACACACACACACACACACAAGAGAGAGAGGAGGGAGGCAGAAGCCCAGTATTGCTGCAGCACTGGAATGGATAAACAGACCGGGTTCTATCTCTGCAGCTCAGTCGTAATGATTATGAATGAGCTACGACACATCCAGCAGCCTGTGAGCCTCACGCTGTTGACCGAAAGACACCAGATACAAAGGAATATATGTGTATGATTTCATGCATATAAAGTACAAAAAGGAGCAAAAACCAGCTGCTGGAAGTCGGGTCACTGTGAGGCTTGTTGGGGCGGCTTCTGCTCACATTTCATTTCTTGATCTGGGTGCTGGTTTCACGTATATTTGACTTGTAGGAATCCACCCAGCCACAGACTTAAGGTCTGTATTCTGTTTTCTGTTTGTATGTTGCAGTTCAATAAAACTGCTACTTAAAGGAGAAATTCAGCTGGAGGGGGAGGTAGGATTGACAGACTTAGGCAATGAAAACATAGGATGCCCGGTTAAATCTGAATTTCTTATAGATAAACGAATAATTCTTTTTAGCGTTAAGTTTCTCCCATGTGGTGTCTGTACTTTGGTCACCCTGGGAGGGACCAGCCATTTGCTTCCATTAAAGAGCTTGGTGTCCTCTCTGACTCTGTCGCCCTTTCTGCAGAGCTCACAGCGTTCCCACTGATCTTCTAAATCCTGGGGAGAGACAGCCCCATCTAGACTGCCCCATGGGACAGAAAACAGGAGCTCCCCACCCAGCGTCTGCCACACCAGACCCCTGTGGGTGCAGGCAGAGCCCCGCCCCTCACCCGGAGCCCCACCTTCCTGGCTGCAGCACACACCCGGCAAGTCTGCCACCGAGCTATGGGCCAGAACCTACTCTCCAGCTGTTCCCCAGGAGCCCCAGCAGCAGCTGGGCCCGGAACACAGTGGGAGGTAGATGGCCCCTCCGAGCCACTGCTCCAAAGCGAATTTGCAGCCGGAGTCACAAGTCCCGCATCTGGGCTTCATTAATCCAAACCCGGGCCTTTGGGAGCTCTCTTATTTGCAGTGGGTGGGGAGGGGCCAACCTGGGGGTGGGGGTGCTGGCAAAGCAGAGCTGGGGGTGGTCCAAGAAGGGAAGAGGCGGGCCGGGTGGGTCAGGACAGGGCTGTGTCCAGAAAGAATTAAAAAAAAAAAAAAAAGAAAAACAACAACAGAAGAAAAGCACCAGAAGGAGCACCGAGGGGGAAAATGGATGAAAAGAAAGCCACATCTGAGGGTGGTGCCCCTCGCCCCTCACGCCGTCCCACCTGCCCACTGCCTTTCATCCCAGCCTTTTAAACACAGTCCCCTGCCCTCTCAGCTCCCTCCGGGACACAGGGAGAGGGCCCAGGGCCGCTTTTTAGTTTTACACTGAGAACTTACTCAACAGAGGAGAAAAAGATGAACCCTAAACACCACCAAACTGTGCAGGCGGCAAGCCCAGGGGCCCGCGGCCCGGCTGGGGTTGGTGGTGGGCTCTTCCTCCCCTAGAAGCTGCCCAACCCCGCCTGGCAAGGCTGCCCCGGAACTCAAACCAGGGGGACAAAGGAGGATGCAGAAGCCGCTGGAGCCATCCCAGCCGCTGTCATATAAGGCAACAGGCCCCAGCCCGCTGCTCACTCCAGGCCAGGTCTCTGGCTCAGCCCTGCCCCCGCCACCCCCACAGGCCGCTGTTAAGACCAGGACACTGGATTAGCACTCAGAGGAGCCTAAGGCGCTGCAAAGTTTGGAAATGACTTTTCCAAACCAACAGCAGAGCCCAGAGCCGGCAAGTGGAACGCGGGCGCCCTGCTTCCCAGCCTCCAGCCCTCCCTGCAGCTCCTGCAAGGGGGCGGCCCAGCTGGCAGCCTGCGGGCGCTCTGAGGACAGCAAAGGCCCCTGGCGGCGCGGGCCACTGGGATGAAAGGACAACCACACGGGTCAATGCAGCCCCTTCAGAGGGGAACCAAGCCCTGCCAAGGCTGAACTACCCTAAAAGGCCATCAGGCATCCGGCCAAAGGCGTGAGCTGCCTTTTCCATGTCTCTAGGGCAGCTCAGGAAGCAACAACAGTGGCCTGTTCCACGTGGAAACCCTGCCCAACACCCTGTCGCAGGGCCTCTGCCTGGCTTGCCTCTCCGGGGCTGTCCACACCATCTCTCGGGCATCACGACCAGCTCTCACGCCACCCACCCCTCCATCCTTCCCTTGGAGTCTTCTGTCTCATACGTGAGCTTGTGCTACCCAAGCAGGAAGAACCAGGGTCTGGGCTCAGAGGTGAGGATGACCTCCTCAGTGGTCTGCCCAGTCATCCACACCCATGCTAGGACATCACGCGTGTGGGCACAGGCAGTGTGGACAGGAAGAGACGGAGGGATGCAGACAGCCTCAGATCCACGCAGCGGAGTACCGTGGGGCAACGAGAAGGAACCATCTGCAGCCCGCTCTCTCCAACGTGGATGAGTCCCACAAGTGGTGCTGGCCATGCCAAGGAAGCCAGATACAAGAGAGAACGCTCTGCCTGGTCCCACTGGGGTGTAAGTTCAAAACCCGGCAAAACACATCTATGGGATGGAAGTTGGGGAAGTGGTTTTCTTGGCAGAAGGAGTCCCTGGGAGTGGCCCCAGGGGGCTTCTGGGGAGCAAGTGACGTTCTCTCCAGTGATAGAGTGGTGGTCACACAGACGGCTGGCAAAGTACACAAAGTGCCCGCCTCTGGTGTGTCCTTTCCTGCGGGCGTATTACGACTAAATAAAAAGGTTACTACCACTTAGTAAGTAAAGTTCATATGGACAATCACAGCCCGACTCCCATCCTCCTCCCTCCCTCTCTTGGTATTATGATAAAACCCATAGACCCTCAGGCTTAAAACACCTTAAGTCACCTGGTCTCATGTTCTAGAAGCTGTGTATCCATCTGTTCAATTAGGGCCTCTGCATACTTGAAGGAATTCATCATACTTCCCATGGTGACCTCTTCCCCAGGGCAACAGCCACACTCTTCTATTTTCAGATCTTTCTGACATTCCAGGTTGGGTCCTCCAAAGGCCCTCAGGGTTGTCAACTCTGCTGTGAAGTGAGGCACTCAGAGCTGAAGCCAAAGCTCATCTTCAGGGCAGCCCCACAAGGCTATGCAGTTGACAGATTGAGCCCATCTTACTATCAAATCCCATTACCCAGATCCTGCTCTGAATGGTGTGACTGGGTCTCTCCCACTCAGCCCATCATTATGGTCTATTGAGATCTTCTGGGATTTTCAATTTGCTGTCAGTTGCATTCATGTCATACACGAACCTGATCATTGTTCTATTAATGGTCTTGTCCAAGACACTGGGTTTGCCCTGGCCAACCCATCAATGGAGAAGGAAGTCTGGGTGGCCGCCGGGGCCTGCCCTCCAGATGGACTCTGATGGCCGGCCAGCAGCACCTTCTGATGACAAGCCCATCTAATTCTACATCACTCAGCACACATTTCTTAAGTTGTCCACAAGACACAATGATCATCTCCATAAAATGCCTTACAAAAACCTAGACAGTCCTCTCCAGAGTACTGTTCTGGCTAGCCTGTCAAAAACTAAATGAGGCTAGTCTGGTATGATTTATTCTTAGGAATCCTAGAAAGCAGTGCTTCCTTTTCTATGTATGTGCTTGCAAACTATCCCCTGGGGAGTTCTGCTGAGGGATACATCAAGTCCACAGTGCTGAGTGAAGAAAGCACCTTCTGCACCCTCCCTCTCCATCTCCCAGGTGCTCTCCCACCTCCAGAGGTCTCTGCGGGGTCAGGGCGCCCCACCAGCACACTGCCCAGGACTGACGTGGGCCATCCATGCACTGGTGAGGTTGAAAACACATTCCACATAGCTAGGCGCCGTCATATTGTCTCCTCCACTATCTTAGGCTGCAATCCCCTCTGAACAATATTTGAGTCCAGATGAAAAATTATGCTCCTCAACAAAGAAGACAGAAGCAAAATAGGAATTACGTGGTGTTGTTCCCTCTTCATCAGTGTTAACATTTCCCCGTCAGCGCAGAACAGCACTCACTCCTTGCAGCAAAAACACCCACACAGGAGCCCCTTCTGTGGGCCTTTGCTTTTCCCAACAGTACAGTCCCTGGTCTGTGCGATTTGTCTATTTGCCTGCCTCGTGTCCCCTTCTTTCCATCTTCCACATCTTTCAAAACTGGAGACCAGGCAGGAGCTCCGGGTGCAGCCCCTGCCGCCTCTAGACACTTCCTGCTTTTCCCCGCACCGGGTCTACTTGCAGTCCATGTTCCAAGTTGTACCGCAGGCTCTCCCAGCCCACCTGAACCATCTTCCTTCTTGGAATCTACTAGTAAAAAATTCTCTCTCTGCTTTTTGAAATCTGCCCTCCAGAAGCAACCACTCCACAAGCAGGCTCCTTGAGGCCCTCCTCCTCCATGCCAGGGTCCAAGGACCCAGAGAGCAAAGCCACAGCGCCGCTTGTCCTCAAGAGGCTCACAGCCCAAGGGGTTGGCGAAGGGCACCAAAACCCAGGGCTCTGCGTCAGGAGGTTTCTTGGAAGAAGAGATGCCTCATCTGATCCTAGTTTTGGGGGGTGAGGAGGGGAGGGGAAGAGGCTTCTCTAAGAAGAGGGAACAGATGTTGAAAAGGTGGTGAAGGAGGATCCCAGAGCCTGGGAACATCAGCTTTCAGGGGACCGGCTCCCTCGCAACAGGGCTCCTGGGCACGCTGGCTGCGGAGGCTTGCTGGGACCCAGCTGGAGACCCTGGACAGAGCTGGGTCTTTACAGCAGCTCCCTGGAGCCACCCCAGAGGGGCCGGAGTCCCAAGACTGAATTTCCTGCGAGAACCTCTTCTTTCCATCGGCCCTGTTTCTGGTGGTTTGCTCTAATCTGTATTTTCATTTTTCACAGTTAAGCTCAACATTGACTTAAATTTACAGCACATCCCTTGAAGTCTTGGTCAACAAGGAGCGGGGTTGGGGGGGGAAGCGGCGTGTGTCACGCACATGTTAGTGGGGGTTCTCGCTTTGTGCTTCGCCAGTCAGTAGATGAAGAAAGTGACAGCCCACGGTACAACAACACGCCCTCCTTCCTGGGGTCTGTCTGGGCACTGAGCCCAGTAGGGCAGCCCCCAGCAATGGGAGAACAAGGCCGCCTGCAGGCTCCTCCAGCATCAGCACCATGGGGAGGGAGGAGGGGGCTAACCAGAGACCACAGCGTCTACAGTGCAGCTGGGAGAAAGGCTGAGGAGCCCTTTCTGATCCTTGTGGACCGTCTGCCAGAACCTACACTGAAGTGGAAAGAGGGGCAGGGGGGAGACAGTGAAGTCCTCACAGAGGGGGAGTGGGGACAGGCTCCGTGGCACAGGCGCAGGGGGAGGAGGAGCCGCACTCCTAGGTGCCTTTTGGATTTTGTTGTATTTGACTGCTTTATCTGTTTAGAAAAAGAAGTAAAATGTCTAAATAAACGCTTACGTAACACCCATCCGATGACCTCTCGGCAGGGAGTCTGACCCTGGTGGATGTGTCTGTCTGAAAGCAGGTGAGGCTGCGCCACCACCGTTTCCACCAGGAGCATTTAAGGTGCGCTTACCAAGGGCCCCGGAGCTGCAAAATGACACTCTCTGAAAGACACTGATTCTTGAGATCACAGTTTGGCTAACAGATGAACAATGTCACGAAGTTAGGATATGATGAAGGTAGTAACAAATCAGCTGGGAAAGAATGGATTAGTAAGACAAAAAAAATTGGTGTTGGGTCACTGGCTCTTTGGGGGTGGAAAAATCAAGTTAGATCCCTGTCTCAGACCTACAAAAAATAGATTCCAGATGGGATGAAGAGCCAATAGAAACAAAGTTATATAAGTACTGAAAGAAAATAGAACACAATATTTTTATGTTTTTAGGGTGGGGAAAGCCTTCTTTTTCAAGACACGAAGATTCAGTTACAATAAACTCTCTGTACTATTCACATAACTTTTCACTAAATCTAAATTTATTCTGAAATTAAGTTTATTTTGAAAGTTTATTGAAAAAGTGAAAAAAAAATCGGTTCATGGAAAGACATAAACAAAGGCTTACAAAGGACAACTTACCGCCTTAGGGGAAAATACAGTGTCTGAAACATATATGCTAAGCAACTTGAAAATCAATATAATTAAGAAGAAAATAAATTACCTGATAGAAAACTGGGCGAGGACCATCAAGAGATAATTTATACTAAGAGAAACACAAAAGTCCAATAAACGTATGAAAAGATTCTCAACCTCACTGGCAATTAGGGAAATGAAAATTAGACTCACTGGATGAGGCTCTTCAGTTACCAGATTAACTGAAACTTAAAAGCAAAACAGAACACACAGTGTTAATGACAGTGTGGACAAACAGGCATTTTCACGTCTATTTGGTGGTATTATTAATTGGTACTGCTTCTTTTTTGGAGGCCAAATTTTAAATATACGTACTTTAGCGTGGCAATTTCAAAGAATTCACCCTATAGAAATATTTGCACAGATGCACAAAGCATGTATATTGGACAAATATCCCTAACAGGGGACTTGCAGGCAACCTAGCTGCAGCTACAGAAAGAAAGAGGTCCAACACACACACACACAGACACACACACACGTGCAGGCACTTCTCAGACTGCAGGCTTGGTTCCAGACCACCACAATAAAATACATATTACAATAAAGCAAGTCACGTGAATTTGTTGATTTCCCAGTGAATATAAAAGTAGCGTTTATGCTCTACTGTAGTCTATTAAGTGTGCAGCAGTATTATGTCTGAAAAAACCATGTACATACCTTAATTAAAAAATACTTTATTGCTAAAAAGTGCTAATCGTGATCAGAGCCTTCAGCAAGTCCTAATCTTTTTGCAACAGTAACATCAGAGATCACTGATCACAGATCACCATCATAAATAAAATAATGATGAGAAAGTTTGAAATATTGCAAGAATTACCAAAATGTGACACGGAGACACAAAAGTGAGCAAATGCTGTTGGAAAAATGGTGCCAACAGACTTGCTTGATGCAGGGTTGCCACGAAGCTTTGATTTGTGCAAAACGTAGTATTTGTGAAGTGCAATAAAGCAAAGAAGCACAATAATATGAGGTCTGCCTTACACAGATACATTTACATAGTGTACATATGGATGTCACGTATGTATACGTAAGTATATGAGATACATATACAATACATACGTATGGGAAAAACAAATACAAATCACGTGGCCTGGCTGCAGCGAGTGGGAAACTGGGGCTTTGGAGGCCAGACTAAGGCATCTGCACTTGGCTGTGCAGGTGACGGGAGCAGGCAGGGCAGAGCAGTCAGCCTCTGGAGGAGGAGGCGGGGACAGAATGCCACTGCCACCTTCCAGATGCTAAAATGAAAGGAGAGGTGGGAAGAAGCTGGCCAATTTAAAGCGACCCAGACAAGGCCCCTGCTTTCATTTCAAGAAGCTGACACAGAAAGGCAACTAGAAGCAAGGATTTTGGATTTAGAAGGAAGAATGGACACAATTTAGGGGTGAGCAGGGATGAGGTGGGGGTGGGCAAGCCCCAGCACTGCAACCTGTGACTTGTGCATCACCTACAGGTCTCAGACAGAGCTTCTAGAAGCCCAGTTCTTCCCAATATAGAGCAAAAACTTCCCTTTCAGGACTGTGGGAAGGCCTCCTTGCTTTCAACCAGATTCATAGAAAAGAGATCGAGCTTCCCATTTCAGGAATGAATTGGAGCCCAGATGATGGCTAAGGATGTGAGTCTGAAGGGAACTCCAAGCTGCTCCCAGAAGCCGTGCCTGGGAGGGGTCTCTGGGATGGCTGCAGTGTGGGGTCTCTGGGATGGCCGCAGTGTGGCCGTGGGGTGCCTGTGAAGGCTGAACAGTTCCTGGAGAAGGCCCAGGACAGGCCCGGTCGGAAGGGTGGGAAGAGGTGTCATTCTAGGCGGGAAGAGCTGCAAAGCGTTGGCTGGAGAGGACATGGGGAATGGTTCTCGCAGGGAAGGGCAAGGAACCCCCGCAGCTGACGCCTCAGGTGGGAGAAGGAAGGAGAGAGGGCAAGAGACTGAGGCGGGTCCAGCGACTTTTGTCCGACTCTCCCCATGAGCTGAGTTTTGTTTATTCACCTCTTTCGTTCATTCGAAAAGAATTTACAAAGCGCCAACAGCGTGCCAGACCCTGCTCTGGATGGCAATGACCCCAGTAAGAGACCTGCTCTCCTGGAGGTGACGAGGAGAGGGAGCCCTAAACAAGGAACAAACAGTAAGATAATTTCTGGCAGAGATCAATGTTGCACAGAAAATAAAAGAGAACGATGAATGGAGAGTTTGGGAGAGGGGTGGGAGGGGGTGGTGACTGGGGACACACTGCAGCTGAGGTCTGAATGTCAAGAGGGAACCCTCCCTCCACCAAAGACGGGAGGGAGCAGCAAAGGAGGGCCAGGATGCTGCAAGTCTGCAGCTCATTGTACAAGGCAATTGTTTTGCTAATAAGACCGTGTGAAGAAAATTAGGCTCTTTTCTGTTTGTAATGAACTCATTAGTGAGCGGTATTTTTAGTTCTCTCTCCTGGGTTTTGGAGATTGGGCGGGAGGGGGAGGTTTCTGGGACTAATGGGGCGGATTGTGGATCCCCACACCCCACCCTGTCGCAGGGGCCAGGGTCAGCGGGGAGGTGCACCCACCTGCTCCGGGAGGTCACGTCCAGGAAGAGCTGCACGAGGGCCAGCAGGTTGTGGTGGTGATCAGATGCCCGGCTCAGGGTGCAGCACAGGTGCCGGAGCTGTGGGGCCGGCGAGCATTAAGGTGGGATACAGGGAGGGCGGGGGGGTGCCTTCCACCCTGCCCTCCCACCAGCCCCCTCGAGGGAGGCCCAGAGAGTGAGAGGGTGGGTGTAGAGGCCAGGTAAGGGAGGCACCTCCGAGGTGCCCTGGGGGCCACGTGAGAGCGCGTGGGACCCCACAGGTGAGGCGGGGGCTTGGGCTCTGGCTCCGGGTCTGCCATACCTTCCCCGGCCACTCTCGGATGTTCTCCAGGAGCAGGAGCAGAAGCTGCTGGAGGTCCGTCTTGGGCAGCAGGCGGAGCCCCACGTCCAGGCCGGCCCGGCACAGCAGCTCCATCAGGCCCAAGAGGTGGCGGTCGGTGTAGGCCCCCGGCTGGGCCAGGGCGCACAGCGTGAGGAACTGGAGAGCAGAGAGAAGGCTGGGCAGAGGCAGCCGCCTTGGCACTGTGGCCCTCGGCCATGCTGGGAAGGAGCTGAGAGAAGTGAGACCTGGACTTGCCCCCTTGGGTCATCAGGGGCCGGCCTGGGGGTGGAGGGCGTGAGCTTCTGCAGCCTGGGTCCTGGCAGCCAGCACGGGGCCTGCGGCCGGTGCTGGGCGCTGGGGGTGCTCGATGGTACTCGCTGAATTAAAAGGCTGCACAGGTCTGACAGCAGAGGGACGGGGGTGGCTCACCTTACAGATGCAGCTCAGGCTAATGTCCAAAGCAGCCTCCCGGGGGGTGTCCTGCTGCTCACTCCAGCGTGGGCTGGCCACACTTTTAAGCACACTAAGGTGAGACAAAAACAAAGGAAGGAGGGGGAGGGTACAGCTCAGGTGATAGAGCGCATGCTTAGCATGCAAGAAGTCCTCGGTTCAATGCCCAGTACCTCCCCCCACAAAAAGTAAAAAAAAAAAACAAAAAAAACCAAAAAAAAAAAACAACAAAGGAAGGGAGACAGGAGGAGGCGGGGAGAACTGAGGCAGAGAAGGAGGCCTCAGGAGATCCATTCAGAGCCTGATGCCCTGTGTGTGCTTGTCCTCTCCTGCTGCATGACAAATGAGCCCCAAACGCAGCTTTAAAACAAAAATATGCATTATCTGGTGTGGTTTCTGAGGGTCAGGATCCAGGGACAGCTGAGCTGGGGGGCTCTGGCTCAGGCTCCCCACAGGATGTTGGGGATGGGAACTGCTGTCATCGCAGGCTTGACAGGGCCAGGGGAGCTGCTTCCAAGCTCATTCACGTGGTCACAGGCCTTGGTTCCTGCCACGCAGGTCCTCTCCACAGGGCACCTCCACTTGCCCTGGTGTCCCCTAAAGAGAGTGACCTGAGAGAGGGGAAATGCCCCAGACAGAAGCTGCAGCCTTTTATAACCTAACCTTGGCAGTGACATCACTTCTGCTGATTTCCACTGGCCACATGGGCCAGCCTGACTTGGTGGGAGAGGGCTGCATGAGGGGACTAATGCCAGTAGATGGGGGTCACAGGGGCCTCTTGGGGGCTGGCTCCCCAACATCGCCACTCCTATACTTGGAAACCAGAAATTCATATTCCGTTGCCCCCAAAAACGTCTTCCTCAAAAGAATTCTTGGTCCACCCGGGTATGGTGAGCCTGGGCATGCAGCAGAAAGCACGCTGTGTTGTAGCTTACATCAGCTTAGCTTCCCACGTGTGCAAGTCAGGTGAAAATCACAGTAAACGTGATCCTGAGAAACACCTCCAAACGTGTCCCATTGCCATGCTGCCCACAGACATGCCGAGCACGGCCGGTTTCCCCTGGGGAAAACAGCCTGGATGAAGTTAGAGGCCAGGGTCACGTTTAAAATACCCTCTTAAAGACCAGCATCACACTCAGGGTGGCGAGGGCCTCACAGTGAGAGGGGCGTTAGTGGACAGCAGAGTCACACCACCTTCTGCACAAGCTCCCCAGGTACATGCTCCCTGGAGCGGCGGTGCCCTCACTCAGTGAGGCTCTTTCTCTGGCCCCGTGTATACTGCTGATTTCAAGTAAGTGAGGTGAACATATGACCAGGCTCCCTTTGCTGTCGCTTCCGCTCCTCCCCTCTTACTAACTAGCTCGGAGTTCCCAATAACAGTGGACTCTATAAACGAAGACACTGATGATGACAACCACACTGTCAACAATAAGACACTGGATGCAGCCACCCCGGCCACACCACCAGCCGAGGAAGTCTGCTCTTTACTTCTGGGCGCTGGTGCTGCTTCTCAGAGGGGAAGAAGAGAAACCCATCTCTAGGTGCCCAGAAAGTTGGTGTCAACAAACCGAAGTTGATGGGGGCAGGGCAAGACTGGGCTCAGCCATCCTTTCAGATTTCACTGTCTGGGCACACGCCGCCCCGTGTCAGTAAACGGAGGGAGTCCCGGTGTGTACCAGTCAGTGAGCGCGCACCGGGCACCCAGCATGGGTGGGAATGCCTCCAGGTTTCCAAAGGGTAGGGGCGGCCACAGAGCTGACTTCGTGACCCTGCCCAAGAGGAATGGGCTTTCAGACAGGCTGGTGCTGCCGGCAGGAGGAGGTGTGTAGAAGATGTGAGCTGGGGAGGGGAAGCGTGGCTGTGACAAGAGGCCTCTCCTCCGCGGAAGGAATGCCAACCTTCCCAAGTGGAGAGCACGCACAGCCTCCCCTCCCATCCGCGCCGTGCACTTCCCTGCGCCCCCTCTGCTGGTATCCGCAGGCAATGGAATGGGTCCTCATTCCCTGCCTTTCTGAGGAACCATTTAATGAAATGTCGGTGTCTGTGACTGCTATTCTGGGATGCAGCCTCAGCTGATCCCCAGGCCTCCGACATGAGGAAGAGGAATTCACAGCCTAATCACCCCAGTCCTCTCCTGACTCAGCAGGCTAAGAGCATGCTGACGGTCCCACCACTGGACTCTACTAGCAAAACAGCTTCACTCTGCCCCATCCCTGCCGGCTGGGTTAGAGCTCACAGCCTGTGGCCAGCATCCCAGAGCTGGACTTTGGGTCGAAATGACACCATTCTGCACTCTTCAGAGGAGCATGTTACCAACCTCTACCTCAGTTTCTGTATGTGTTTTCCCCTATTACTGTTTGAAAACAGCGGGAGGAAGGTAGGTAAGAAAGCCGACGCGCACCGCCGCCACCGTCACCAGGAGCCCGGCAGCCCAGCCCCACCACATTGGCTGTGAGCAGGTGCCCTCCTCAGGCCTGTACCGCTGCACCAAACCAGACCTGCTCGATGCGACCATGTGATCGTGACCGAGGTCAATGCAACGAAGGGGGTCTGTACTGAGCTAATGGAAAGGGAGGGAGGAGCAAATCTTACCTGGATCGAATTACACTGTCCCAAGGCAGCCAGTTACCACCCGCCCCCACACTTGACATCCATGCCCTCTGGGTGGATTAATTGTCACTTATTTACCCCTCCGGCCTCTGCTCCAGGCTACTGTTTCAGAAAGCCAAGTAGACCAAGGCTTGTGGCACCAGGCAACAGCAGCGGGTGGCTAGTTTTTAGCGGCCAGCCCTGTGATCTGACCAGGGCTCCTTGTCTGGGTTTTATGATCAGGGAGCAGCCTTGGAAGACCAGCCGTTGCTACCCAAGGCCCGCCCTCCTCCCCAGGTGAGACTGGGGGTACCTGATGAAGAGTGTGCAGCCATGTGGCACAAGCCCCTCTGAAGATGCTGGAGCTCTCTCCTGCTTCCCATCCAGTCCCGCCCCCTGCCCTTCCTGCCCCCAGAATGTCCTCCTGACTTCTCCGTCCCGAGCCTGATCCCTGCACAGAGAGCTACTCTATTTGCAATAAGTTGGACATGAGACGATCCGCATGGTCCAGCAGTAGCAGGGCTGTTTCATTTGTTTTCGGTTTGTTTTAAATTTTGTTGCGGCAGAGAGAGGTAATTAGGTTTATCTATTTTATTTCTTAATCAGGGTACTGGGGATTGAACCTAGGACCTCAGGCATGCTAAGCATGCGCTCCCACTGAGCTATACCCTCCCCTCTAGAGTTGTTTCATTCTGAAAGAAAATCTTGAAGCATTCAATGAGATGGTGATGAGTTTCAAGGAAATCTGAGATTAGGAACAAGTAGTGAAAGACCTATCTTTCTCCTAGCAACTAGAAAGACAGTCCAGGCATGTGCCCACGTGCAGGGACATCTCAGCCCCTCATCTCCAATCTTGGCCACTGCGAGGCTTGTGGGTGCCCCAGAGGAGCCCCAAGGCATCTGCTCGGCCAGGGGAGCCCTAGGTGGGGACATCCCTGGAGATCAACAGAGAAGCACATGATGTGGAACCAACTGGCACCTGAAGATGAGGATGATGGTGGGGAGAAGGCAGCCTGCCCTGAAGATTCTCCTGTGACTCATGTATCCATGAAGGACGCCACACTTTTGGTGGAAGAAATGCCGGAACCTTCTTGGTATGCCCTGAATACTCTAGAGGAGTCATCTTTCAACCCCACGACACCCAGAGCTTCCCCAGGCACAGGACCAGCCAGCAACGCAGGAAACCCGTCTGGGCATCCTCACTACCCTCTACCCGAGGGAGCTCACGGGAGGGTCTCCAGGACCCATCTGTTTGCTTCTCAAAAGGAGGCTGGGTTCAGGCAGGAGAACCTCCCTAGACTGAGTGGCCTGGCCGGTGGTCCTGGCCCTCTCTTACAGAGCTGCAATGAGGAAGTCACCCCTGCGGCCGTCGGCCCAGTCCTCTGGGCCAGTTTTTAATCCTCCTCGGGGAAACGGTGCCAGCAGCCAGCCCCAGGTCGGGGGGGCCCAAGAAAAGAGGCAGGGGTGTCAAAATGCCACCTTGCAGCTCTGGCAGTGCTCTGGGCCTGCCCCGAGGACGACGCAGCCCTGCCTTGCTCTTACAGGGGGCTAACCCGCACCGTACCAGGTAAAGCCGGTAGTCTGCGCGCTGGGGTTTGTCTTCTCAAGTACTGGAGATGACGCATTTAAACTTTGGTTTAAATTTAAATTTAAACTTGCCCCTGTGGACTCCAGAGCTGGTAGATTTGTCCTGAAGCCTAAGGGGCAGGAAGCCTTCAAACCCTGGGGGAAGGGAGAAGTGGGCAGGGGAGGCGGGAGGGGCTCTTTGCAAAGTGCGGAGTGAACTGGGAGGTTATAAGCCTCCAGTGCCACCTCCCACTTTCCAAGTGGACCTGGGTGCTCATCCCAATAGTTAGAGGTGGCTCTTCTGAATCCCAAGGGCCCCCAGGCCCTCCCCCTTATATGCATTTGTTTTCTGAGTGTAATGGTCTCCCCAGCTCCTCCGGGAAGGTGGGATGACTGAAGCTCCGTGCTGGAGGAGAGGCAGGTGGCTGATTACACCAGATACGAGCTCCACGGGAAGAGGGGGTGGGAGCACGGCAGGCTGGCACTCGCATGGGGTATTTATAGCAGAGCGAGTGTGGTTTGGTCTGGTCTGGTTTGGCAGACAATTACTAAACAGCCGTGGAACAGGTTCTTAAGAAAGCCTTGGCCTTCCCTGGAGGAACATCCGCCCACCACAGGGATAGTCAGCAGGATGCATGGGGCTTCCCAGGAACAGCCTGTCCGGGGTTCTAAACACGCAGTTCTCTCTCAGGCCAACTTCTCAGAGAACTCTCAAGAAAAGAGTTTGGATGAACTATTAGTTGCAGAACAAGCGGATGACATGTGACAGCTTTACAACCCAGATCTAGTCACCATCCACCCAGCAACAGTCATTTATGTGTTGTATGGCTTTGTTCCTGGACGGCAGGGACAGATTAGCATCACTGCCCGCCCCCCCACGGCACCCCCCAGCCCAGTGCACAAAGGGGGCATCCACAAAACAGAATCGAGGACCGCCATGAGCTGATGTTAGGGAATGTGCCGGAGAGGCTTGGAGTTAGACCAAAGACACTGGGACATGTCTTGGAAGAGGAGGGGCAGCGAGGGCTGTGAGTCAGGAAGGGGCAGGAACAAATGCCAGCCAAAGCAGCAAGACTCATCAATTCTGGTTCTTCCCAACCCCTTGAGGCCGGGAGCGTGGCGGCTCACACACCGCTCACTCATGGTGTGGTGCCTGTACTCACAGGTGCCTACCTGTATGCAGCTCTTCTGTAATTCCCTCAGATTTTCTGTCCTTCACTGTTTGGGCTAGAACCCAAGCTTGGTAACTTTTTTTTTAACTTCCAAGAAATGCACATAATTTTCAATAATCATCAGAGGAAATCTTTCCTTGCTCTAACTTGTAAAATGCTCATTGAGCTAGAGGATGGAACCCACCAACAAAAATGAAAATGGAGCTTTGTACAATGAAAGGCCAGTTGTTCTACATTCATAGATTAGGAAATACCTTCAATTAGTGTTTCCTAGCACAAATATGTATTTAGAAAAATCTGTCTTTTGGGGGTAATATTTTGTTTTGTCTTTTAAGGTTCTTCCTGACGTCTAATTGGTACCGAGCATATTTAATGTATACACTTAGATGGGTTTGAACTGAGATCAGCAGCTGTGGAGCCCATGAGAAAGGGCAGCGAGGAAGGGGAAGCACTCACCTCCCACTGTGCGGAAAGGGCCCCGGGGGCGCCAGAGCGGGGTCGTGGGCTCCCAGGCTGTGGACCGCCTCTGTGACCTCTTGCATCGAGGGGCACCACAAGCGCACGTCCTCATCTGTCAGGTCAAAGAAGGGTAGGGGCGGTGGTTAGGGCGGCTGGGGCAGGACAGAACGCATTGCTCCTGCAGGTGGGGCTGGGCACGGCAGCTCCCAACTCCGACCCTCGACCCTCGGGGACCGGCCTCCATCCTCCAGCACCACAGGTGTTATCTAGAGAAGTGAAGCAGCCGCTGGTTTTCAGGCATTCGCAGGCACTTTGGGAACCTGGACGTTCATTCTCTCGTCTTCAAGCTACGGCTACCTTGAAGCTACCAGGGCCCAGGGAGCACGGCACCCTGACCATCCCCATCAGGCAGCCACCAGGGTCCCCAGCTGCCCCAAGCTGAGCCAGATGCCAAGTCCTGAACCAGAGGCCTCAGAACTGCAAGAGCCGGGAGACACCAGTCTCTGCCGCCCCAGGCTCTCCGCCACTAAGGGCTGAGGCCAGCGCTGCACCTATGCTGACTCCAACATCTGGGCGTTCCCAGGTCCGCCATCCCCGCCCGGGGCCATCCTCGCAGCCCGGGAGGTGTCTACTCAGCGAGCCAGAGCTGCCTGTCCCATTCTCTCTGGACGAGTTTAATTAACAAAGCACGAACAATAATAATCTGACCACATCAACAAAGAGGGAAAACCTTACGTACCGGGGGCCTTTTCTTCTGTCAGACTATTTAAGGAGAAGAGATAAATTAAAAACCATACAGTAAAGCGTATTTCCCAGAGATGGCACAACTCTGTGTCCCATCCCAACGGCCCTCTGCGCTGTGGCAGAGTCCACGTCTCCACCCACTCATTCCTCCACGGGATCTTATTTATTGATTTCTTTGCTTCTTGTCTGTCTCTTTCCCATTAGAAAGTAAGTTCCATGAGGACAGGGGCCAGGTCTATGCTGTTCATCCTACACACCCAGTGCCTAGAGGAGCAGCCCGTCTACGGAGGGAGCTGAATGGATGGATGGATGGATGGACGGACGGATGGATGAATGAGTGGATGCGGGAGTGGAGAGCATCCTACACAAACCTGATGGAGGAATACATGACTGAGAGGGGAAGTGGGAACAAGTCACAGGATAAGCTGGCCGCATCAAGAACACAAACAACTATTCTGACAGTGAGTGAGGTACAGGAATCCAGAATCTGGAAGCTGGGCCAGGAGCACGTAAGCAGTGCAGGCCTGAACCTTCGCTGTTCTGGAAGGTGAGCATTCCCTCCTCAGGGCCCACCTCCATGGATCCCACCGTGTGCAGCGACCATGTCAGGTGCCACAGACCAAAAGGTGACCCAGTAGAGGCCCTGACCTCAGGGAGCTCACAGTCTAGGAGGGAGGGGAGCCAGGCAGAGAGACAAATACAAGAATGTTTCTGCAAAATTCAAAGCAGGGGAGACGTGCAGAGCCTGCTCAGAGGAGAGGGCATTAACTGGACAGGGAGGGGACAGGGCAAGGCTGCCAGCACAGGTAACAGGAAAGGAAGCACACGCC